ATATCATATATTATTCATCATTTATCAATTTTGTATTTTTATTATGAAATATTATATAGAATTCATTTTAAATAAATATATTTCGATTTCAAAAATATAACAAAAATATATATGAATATATATAAATTTTTTTCTTTTAAAATTCTTTAAATATTAAAATATTTTTCTTGCAGAAATATTTCCTTCACGAATTATTACTTTTATTTCAAAGATTCTAACGATATTTCTAACGATATATTAATGACCTTACCGTAATAATACTAATAATCATCATCATTATCATCAGTAGAATAATAGTATTAATAATACTAACAATAATAAATAGTAGTCATCGTAATAATTAGAATAATTATACCAATAATAATATATATATTATGCGTAATATTATACATATAAATTCAATAATAATAATATTAGTAATAAATCTACGCCTATGACTTAATAAGTAATGGAGGCTATTACGGCCGATCCTTAGCCCTACATAACTTAAACCATTTTTCATAAAATCTTTTTCAAATCTTTCGTAGGATTTTTTCAAAATTCCCTAATTCTAACGCTAAAACAAATTTCTCAAAATTTATTTACAAATTTATCCATAAATTTCATTTACCCTATTCGCAACTCTAGAATCGTTAAGGCAAGAAATATCCAAATAAATCCAATATAAATATGACCGAAGACAAAGATCTTTAAATCAATATTAATTTCAAATTCTTGATTAAAATAAAACTTAATTAGATACTATAATAAAATATATTATCTTAGTTTTTATTTCATATTCTCAGAAAATCATTCGAATTAATATCCAAATATCACGAATTATAATCTTTTATATTTTTACTTTTTCCATCAATACAAAAAATCGATATCACTCGAAAATCAAAGATTTCAATCAATCTCAAAAACTTGAATTCAAGAAATCCCAACGATTTAAATCCTCGTAGTCTAGCCTTTCGATATCTTACCTTTTTTATTTCATCTCATACAACCAGAAAGACAGAAATACAAACGAACGGCAACAACAACGACAGACAGACACAGACAGACAAACAGACAGACACAACTACAAATACAAATCCTGCTTACCAAAAATACGAAGACAAATATATAGACTTATAGGAGATTCCCATCGACACCTTGTGTTCAAATAGAATGAGTGACACCGGAATTCGTGCTATCAAGATCTTAATACGTTCCTTATTAAAAATGTCTTGCGTGCCTATCTCGCGGCACTGAATTTTCGTCACTCAAATCCTAATACGCGTCCTCTTTTAAGCCTTTTCGAGCGGCCCTAAAATATCTAAAATCAAATGTGTTTCTTCTTCAGAGCTTCTTTTTTGGGACATGCTGCCGGAACTAAAATTTAAATTTATTGAAATATTTCGGAAATTTAATTACCGGGAACTTGTCCCCCTAAATATTCCGAAATTTTAATTCCGCGAGATTTCCTAAAGCTATCAAAAGTTCGGAAATTTTAGTATCGGAGACAAAAAATTCCGAAATTTTAATATCACGAGACAAACACGCAAAAGACTTTCAAAAGGAGATTTACCAAAAGACGAAATTACAAGGGTTAAGAAGCGCGCACAAAACAACGGAGGCGACCAGCACGACACCATTTTAATAGAGAAATCCACAAATTCTTCTATACTATATAGATATATCTATCAATCATATAGACGAGAACAAAAAAATAACAACAAATTCAATCTTATATAATAAAACAAATCTATTATATAAAAAATATTCATATTCAATATATCTTCTCTTCAAACCACATACACTATTTCCGAATTATCGTTTATGCGATTAAAATCAATATATTTTCAAATTTTAAAATGTTTTTTGGATTTTAATATCTTAAAAAATTATACTATAAGATATTTGTACTTTATAAAGAATATTCTTCGTATATATCATATATATATATATATACGAAGAATATTCTTTTCTTGCTCGGAATTATTCTAACTACGAGTTCTTTTAGAACTAGAAAATACGAATTATCAGAAATATATTGATTTTTATTGTACGTGTCATTATCGAATTCTTCGTTGCAAAGCTCGTAGGTTGATATAGATACGTCCAGGTTATATAAGTTAAGAGCGCCTATTCATACTTTAAAGGACATAAACCATTGAAAAGCAGGAGGCGGCCGGAGCGCCTCGCGGATAACGAAAATAGGAGATTCGAAAACATCGGTGATATCGAGGTTTCGTGGATCTTGGGGTCGAAAGAGCGGGTTGCCTGTAGGAAAAAATTCTGCCGGGCCGGGCAGGCGGGCGCGCGGAAAAAATCGGGCCGGAAAATTTTCCCCTGGACCCTAAAATTTTGAACATTGTAGTTCCTATTCTAAACCTCAAGCTAAGTGCCGTCCGCTTCCGGCGGTGGCGCCTCCCCATACGGCCGGTAGGCCTCCCTCAGGACTCTCTGGTCCTCTCTCTCTAGCCACCCCCGCCATTTCCTGCACAGGTGGCGGCAGAGGTCGCGTCCTTTACGCGATTTACCGTCCACCCAGGCTGTTCCTTCAGCCTTTCTTGAATTCGTGCAGGTACACCACCATCGCGCGGTAGCCAAAAACACGTATTTGGTGCGTCCGCGTAAGCCCTACAGGGACCTCAGAAAGACATCCCGAAAGAATAAGACATCCTATAATTTACCTGGGACAAACACAGAAAGAACCCAAGATCCCGGGGCCGAGCAGGCGGGATTTTTCCGCCGCCCGCCCGGGAAACATTACGCTGGCCGGAGTCGACACACAGCTCCGCTGTCCGAAAAAGGGCTGGGAGGTGAATTATCATTAGCGATGACAACACATACTACTATAACTCTTGGAATTCTCTTGAGATCTCCTTTTAATACTGCGACGGATGCCTAACGGGGCCGAGGCCTCTTGCTCGTGAAGGCTGGGCCTCTAGACGAGTCAAGGTATGCTGCTCTCGAACGACTGGGTTCCTTCAGAGAGATAATAAGTTTTATCAATCAATCTAACACGATTAAACTCTAAATTTATCACAAAAAAATAGACTCGAATCTATGAAAAGATAAGTTCGTAAGAAAGACTTTAACAATATACTATATCAAACAATCTACCATAACAATTTCATGAGTCGAGTACAAAAATATATACACCAATCTACGAAAGAAATAAGATCGTAAAAAATATCGACAATACACTTTATTAAACGATATACCGTAATTGCAACATAAATCTATTATAAAATATAGACGTAAATTTACCAAAAAATAAGTTCGTAAAACAATCTTCGACAATACATTATATCAATCAATCCACCTTAATTTAATAGGAGTTAATTGCAAAAGCATAGACACCAATCTATAAAAAAAATAAGAATATAAGAAATATCGACAATATATTTTCTCAATTAATCTAGTGTAATTATAATATAACTTTCTTACAAATCATATAGACCAATCTCAATCGATTTACCCCAATTATAATATGAGTTTCATACAAAAATATATACGCGAAGCTATAGAATACTAAATTCGTAAAAAGATCAACACTATACTTTATCGATCAATCTACCGTAATTGTAACAGGAGTTCCTTATAAAAGCATATAAGCCAATCTATGGAAAAAAAGAGAAGAATCGTTAGACAAAAACATCGACCACGTTCTTTATCAATCAATCTACCGTGATTGCAATATGGATCTGGTACAAAAACATATACGCGAATCTATGGAAAAACAGGTTCATGAAAAAATCCACGACATGCTTTATCGCTCAATCTACCGTCATTGTAATATGAGATTCTTACAAAAACCAAAACGCGAGTCCATGAAAAATAGTGCAAAATATAAGAAGAATTTGCTTGCAGCCAGACCCTTCGCAGCAGGAGAAAGCTTTTTGCGCGGAAGATGGCCCGGCCGTCTCGTCATGCGCGGCATCCTGAACGGGCGATGCTTGTTTGGGTTGCGGACTCGCACGCTCACTCCGACCGGTCTGAGGCTCCGACTTTGGATGGCCGGTTTACGCATGCGTTCGCCGAGGAGGTGTTCCGTCCCCAGCTTTGTGAGGACGTACCTGGCAAGACACGGTTACGAAGACCCCAAACAAATCCCTGCGGTAAGGCCCTCGCTTGCTCACCCCCAACATATCCGCGAACCACTCGAGCTGCCTCGGGATCGCAATTGAAAGATGTTCGGCAAGGCGCGACTGCATCCGGCCTGAGGCGGTATTGCATGAGCAAAGCCATAGCGGACGCGTAAACGTCCGAAGACGTCGATGGCCATTCTCGCACCTCACACAAGGGAAGGGTCGACTATGCGAGGATGGACTGCAGCCTGCCTGCCAGACTCGCTCGTAGACGACATCCCCTAGCAACGCATCCAAGTCTACAAAAGCTTCTATCACGTGTCCCGGGATGGAACCGACGTGATCCGGAAACGGAGGAGTTAAACTTTTCAGTGTGCTGTAGGGAGATGCAACACGAGGCCAGGAGGCGCGATGTATACTTCTTCATACAGCAACTTGGACAGTCGGATATGATCTTAAGGCTTTCCTGTGAAACATCTTTGGCAACCTTGCTTGACAAAAACTTCTGTGTTGCGGAGCCCCTGCCGGATCGTCTAGAATTCCTGAGCGCTATGCCAGCAGCCGCATTAATGCGGGCAGCTTCACTTGACTTTGGGCACAGCCCGAACTGAAGAAATTGACCTCAGGTTAAGGGTTTCACCAAAGCACTTCGCCGGCAAAGCTGAATTTGATGTTTCCTGCCAGTGCTTTCTGCCAGGGTATTCACACCGACGCAACAATCTCAAAGGCGGGCTGCAAGGAAGGCAGGGACGTTGCTCACGACCTGCTGCCCTCCCAACTTCGACCTGAGACACGCAAGGACCCCGGCAGTTTGATTTGGCAGGTTTGCGAAGTAGAATTCTGAAGACGCGACCTGAACACCCCCGCTGCACAGCTCAGAATGTGAGTGCGAGCATGTGTGATTCCTCCCGGATCAGTTGAGGAGCAAGTCTGCATCTGAAGCCATGGAAATCCTGGTGAGGCCCTCCGTTAGGACGAACTCCTCCGAAACATCTCGGCCAAGAGTTCCTAACATCCCCGCGTGAGCGAACATCACATCGCCTAGCGACTGCTTCGAGAATCCTTTACAGCCTGCAAGCAGCTTCATCCACTGCCGGCCCAAACCGGAACTCGACAACATCAAGTCACCTGAACTGCAGTGTCCAGGTTGCGACGACTAATCTGTGAGACGAACCCACCACAACTCGGAATGGAAGTTGTCAATTCTGGCCCGGTCCTCACTTGGCGAAATGCCATGTCCACCGACCCGCTCGAAAAAGCCTCTGCTGATGGCAATAGGAACCCAACCCGCGCACGAACAGAAGGTGGGATCAGGATGTGGTGGTGCAATCAGAAGTCTGCCTGAAGCAAAAAGGGAACATGCCCAGAATATACGGCTGATTCCTTCGACGCTCACTCTGCAACTGTGCCAGGGCCAAGCAGCAGTTTAGCACTTTGTCCACAAGGTGGACGGGTTTCTGGCAGTCGCCTCGAACACTCTGCATTGCTTATAGGGAGTAGCCTCTCATCGTTCTTGCCAGTGCTGGCTCTTGGAAACGAGCGAAGACTCTAAGAGGTCCGAGCGATGTAGTGACAAGAGGCCGCACTTGGTTTGGGAGGTGGACATAGTCCGCAAAGCTCTTGGGCTGCCAGGAACCCCGGTCTCTTAGAGCTCCTGCCACTAATTTATATTATAATATATTTCTAAAGGAACTTCTTAGCGGCTAAGCCCGGCCTCTAGCTTGAAGGTCCTCTGGCGGCACGCCAGCCCACAGCATGGACAACGTGTCCTACACCAAGGCTGCAGTAGATTCTGTCCTGTAGTGGCTTGGGACTAAAATCCTGGAGAGTGGGTTGAACATCTTGAGAAGCCTGTGCTGGAAACCCTTTTCATGAGCATGTCCGAACCAGAACCACCAAGATCTTCAGCCGGGTATGCGCCTAGCCACACTTCAATGTGGACCTGCCGTCAAATGTTATTTCTGGTACACATGTTGGGTGCGAGCTAGGCGTTATGTGAGTGGGCTGTCAACAGCCCCTGTCCTCACGGGTCGGCCCGCCGGCAAAGAGCGGCATGTAGTTGAAGCTCAAGTCGAGGAGGCCATCCCTGGGAGAGATGCCGCCCTTCCATTAGCTGCAATCATGCAGAGACGCAGGCAATCGCAGGCACACGCACACCCGCCCGATCCCGCACAGATGGATGGGCTTCTGTGCTGTAGACTGCTATACACCTATACGCTACTTCTGAGCGAAGCTCTTCGGCAAAATGGCATGAGGGCTAAACACGAGCAGCTCGGACCAACCCTAGAACGAAAACACTTCTACAGCCCCTTTAGCACCTTCAAGGTACCTCTGAATTCCGGACTAGGCCTTGCTGGTGGAAAGAGGCGACGCCACCTGGGACAGCTTCAGAAAATCAGGTGAACCCAAGAAAGAAGACCCAAATGGTGGGATCCGTACCGTGAGCACCCGAATGTTCAGAAACTCCGTATAAAACTATACCTAACCCTGCCAGATCCCATGCGACCCGCATTTCAAAAAAGCCTGGTGCCAAAGAAGCTGAACCCCCGGCCAGTTCCAGGGGTGCCTGCGGGAGTCTGTCTCGACATCAAGGCGTCGGAGGAGGGGCCGATCCTGGAAAAGGAGAGCGGTGGAGGGTTCAGGGGTTACCCATAGGCCCCTAAGTAGTTCCTTTTTTATGGTTTATATTTAGAACCCTATAGCGTAATCCCAAAAAGGAACTACTTAGGGGCCTATGGGTAACGGCTAAGTCACAACGCTGAGGAATGTTGAAATGATCGCGACAAAGGAGTTGGACTTTGGGGGCTTGAAGTTAGGGTGTGGGTCATTGCTCTTTAGGACAAGAGGCTCACTCTCAGAGTGGGAAAGGTAGAATATTTGCTCCCTGTGCTTCTACCTACGAATTCCGAAAGAGCCTTTGTCTTGGGGGGAAAGGTCTGCAAGGCCAGCATGGAACCTCCCCCAATGCACGAAACTTCATAACATTCGCCATCCATGTGCGACCGGATTGAATCTGAGTGTTCATGCGCAGTTACGGAGGTCTGCTGCTGTCTTGGCTCAGTGCTAGCGCCATTCAAGCTGTTTGGTTCTCACCGCCTTGCTTCTTCTCGTTCTCTACAGAAGCCCCGACCCCGAAACATCTCAAATTTCATCCCACGGGCCACAAGCCTTATTACAAACGCACCCTCGGCAGGTACCTCTGGACAAAGAACCCTCTTACCGACTCTGGGAAACAGGTGCTGGGAAAGCACGACGACGTTGAGGCACGGGACGCTAGGAGCGAACGACGGGATGCTGGAACCTTGCGGTAAGACATAAGATCTGTACAGAGAACACTGGCCAGTTATCTGAGCAGGCACCTTGGGGGTTAATCGGAACGGTTGTAGTTCTTGCTACAAGTGGCATAGTGGCCTCCGGTCTCAGCTCCAAGCCCAAAGAGGCCGCCTGCTCTGACACAACCTGCAACTCATTCACGCCACATCTACACGTGCTACATGTTCACAGGGTCAAGCCGTTGCCGAAGGACGGAGAAGTATCTGCAAAGGTCGAAAGGCGTGACAAGGCTCAGCACAAAAAAGCTACGACCTTTGTGCGAAGCCCTGCCTGCCATTTGTCCTCCTCTGTGTCGGTTGCATTGTTGGAGGCAGGACGCCGCTGCTCTGGGTCAGGATCACCAGTCACCTTGGCCCGGCATGCCCCCACTCACATCTACGTACGCATAACAAAGGTCGATGCATCCCGGGTCCCCAAACTCAGCAGCCGCTTGAAGCCCCGAAGCTGCGGTCATTCCGAACTTTACCCAGAACTCCTTGCAGCGTTGCCACGAAGGTGCGGAAGAAGTCGCGCAGAAGGCGGTGCGACGAGGCCACCGAAGGCCTTCTGCAAACACAGGCGTCCAGATGCACTTTTAGCAGTCATGATCGTAGAGTCACCCATTCAGTGCGCACCTCTCATGCTTCACGGCAGCACAAGCTAGCGCTGGGCCCGCTGGGCTGACAAAAGCTTGTCAGGTGGAACAACCTAACGAACGCAATAATCAATAAGTGGTGGGTTGAGTGTTGAGGGGCCTGAGAAAGATAGCTCGATGAACCGCTGACAGTGCTTGCTGCTGCACTGGCAGGCGCATGAGGACAGTTGCCGTGCTCGTCCTCTGCTCGCATGCAGCATCTGCAAAGAGAGCATCGTCATTTGCTAACAGCATCTGCGCAAATCCCTGCGGAGGAATGGGTAAGACTTCAAGAGCTGATACCTCTCCATTTTACCTCAGGCCTCCCGTATCCTGGCGAAGGGGTCACGTCCACGAGGTACCTCAGTCTGGTGCTTGCACCACTCAGCACGAAACACAGCCTTGACGGCACCCAACCCTGCATTGCCGACGCCTACCCCTGCAGTCGCTCACCGGGATGCCAGAGCCCTAGACCAAAACACTAAGCGCTATGTGCCTGGAAATCCAAAGGGCGGAGCCCAAGCAATGTGGGGTTGGCCATCGCGCAGCTCCTGACGGTAGAAGCAAATGCGCATAACTGTGCTTGCCATGCTTTCTGCCCTGGACAGCTGCTCTGCGCATAGTCTGTCGTTAGCCTTTTCATCTGCGTTGGGACACTGTTGGGACGTCCTCGTACTCTTCAAAGAGGAAGTCCACGCCCAGGATCTCGAAGCATCGCGCCTCAGAACAGGGACATTTCTTCTCAAACAACGCTCTGCATGGAGCTTCAAGGTCCTTCCCACAGAATTTGCAAAGATTGCGAGGCCCCGTTGCGGCGCAAAAGAGTGGAAGCTGAAAGAGATATGTCATATCTTTCCTTCTTCTCTCGGGCATAGCAAACGAGTCGGACCCCCCCATATCTCGTCTTCTTCTCTCCGGCTTGGAGCGTGTCAGGTCCCCTGAACCAATGGCCTGTGGGTTAGGGCCTTTGGAGGGATGCGACAACTAAGTTTAGCTAGTGCTAATATAAGCAATGGACACCGGCAAGCACTGCACAGGGTCTCTCTCTCTCTCTCTCTCTGTCTCCCCCTCTCCCTCCTGTTCGGTTCTCATCCAGCACAAGCCCTCGTTCACAAGCTCTCGTTACCCAAGCACCACAGTTTGTAAAATCTACCTGCGATGAGGCTGAGGCTCTGCTCCGAGCAGGGACTGCAGTCTCCTGAAGAGGTCGGAATGCCGGCTGTGGTGGCCGGCTGCGAGAAGCGTCACCACGATGCTGTGGTGCATTCCTGCGTTCACAAATGAAGCCAGGAACCGACGTTGTGGTTCCCAGCCAAGCTGCCCTGAGAACTTCTCATGGTGGGTCCCGGTATCAGCACAATAAACTAATGTCGCCATACATCTCTATTGACAGAGGAGGGGCGACGAAGCAAAGCATCTGGATCGGCACCAGTCAGATTCCGATAAAGCCTGGCAAACCTGAGTGGAGCGCAAAACACCCTACCTCCCTCCAGCCTTCCCCTGCCAACACCGACCTGACACAAAGCCGCGTTGAAGTCCGCTGCATGACAGCATTAAATCCGTCTCACACCCGCAGGCGAATTCTATGGCAAGCATTTCGAGGCAAAAGGCTCGCCCCGGGAAATCTGCCGATCGCCATAGTTCGTCACAAACTCCTGAAGAAAAACACGCTTGCCTAACAAAACGGACCACCTCGGCGCAGGGACCTTGTTGGGGAGGTTTGGGCCACAGGAGTTCGGCGAAAGTTACTCTAGGGGACTTTACTGGACTTTATACATTTGGCACAGCAGTTAGGATAAGGATCTGGGGGAAATATTGTGTACTGTAACTTATACCAAGGAACCGAAGGAATCATATTGGCAGTCGTTCAAGCTCCTATATGATTTTAGAAGCAACTTAAGCTCGGGTTCCTTGAGCTCCAGACCCAGAGGCTATTTGGCTGATGCAAGATAAGGCATAGACTACAAGCACACAGTGAAGATCCATGGAGTAGCCGGCCGTCTATCTTGTAACCAGACATTGTAGGGGTTTTTGGGCTTGGGGTTTAGATGAAGCTGAATATGCGAGGTATGGTCCATATTCAAGCTTCTAGATCGCGAGCTCCTCGTCTTGCTGCGGCGTGCAAACCCCAGATGCATGAGAACCTGGGCAGCACGATTCGGGAAAAAAACAAATGGGTTGATCGGAACATCTCTGTCGCAAGATCCACTCGAATCGGGATGGTTTCAGGTAAGGCAGACACAGCAGCTGCCGAACCGCAGCAATTGCAACAGGAACGGCAACATGAGCAACAGAGAGGGTTGAAGGCACTAACCTGCAAACGCCAGCACTTTAGTGAAGCCTCTCCTGTTTCTTAGCCTCTGCCTTCACTGTCTTACGGCCCAGCGCAGCGAACAACTCCGACACTAACTCCGACCATGTGTGGTGGGCTTCTTTCTTGTCCAAGGACGAATAGGTTCATATTCCAATACCAGTTCGAGGGTTCGAATACAAAGAAAAGCCTGTGCCGCGAGGTTCTCAGCTGACATGATCCAACACTGCAAGTAGAGTTTCATCGGTCTTGGCCGATGATCCCCTGGCGGGTTCTCCTCAAGATCATGGTTGGTTTGGGGGCAGGTTCAGGCAAGTCAGCTAATAAGAATTGAGGTGTGGGTTGCTGAGTCGTCATAAATGCAAGGCAAGTGACACGATCCTCTCTCGACAAGCTTCTCGCTTTCTGCATAAGGAGACGAGGAAGCAGCTTTGCTTGCGAGAACAGCATAGCCTCCATCATTGTCGTCGTGGTGGACATACACCTTCCGGCTATTGGGTGCAGCTAGGCATCGACTTGTCACACTCGGATCAAAGCGACTTTGCAAAGCAGAAGCGCCTCACTTCTCGCACTTGCTAGTGCTCTTTGAGAAGTGTACCCCTCGATTCCGATTCCGAAAAACTCAGGACACTCTTTAAGTGCATCACAGGAGCTCGCAAAGGGTGAAGCGACGTCAGCCCTGCATACAGCCGGAAGTGGAAGCGGCGGCCCTCAATCAGCGGAGAGTGGATGCGCCGCTGGACCAGGAACCTTATGCTCGTCCCTAGCAAAGAGCTTCACAAGGTAGACTCCCAGAGGGACTTAGTGTAGCAAAAGAAGAGAATTCCTAAGATGGATCAATGGCTCATCACCCGTGCCTAAGTACCACGACTGTTGCCGTCAGGAGACCGAGACATCTGGGCCAGTCTTCTGCTAAACTGTGCAAACACCGTCCACGGCTAAGGCCACGTGATGGATGGCTCGAACCTCGTATGACTCGCCTGGTTTTGCGACCTGCATGCTAGCTCGCAGCTGATTCCTGCACGAAAGCTCCATGCAACAAACGATCCGTAGAAACGTCTGGAGAACCTGCGCTCGTCAAACAACGGTCTCTTAGTCAAGCAGGAAGCATTGTGCCGTGACCTGCTCGAGCAAGAAGGTTCGACAGATCACGCGGAGATCGCAGTATCCTCACAATTTGATGCGAAGGATTTTGTCATGGGGCAAGTCACTTGACATCGAGGGCAGGCAGAACTTAACACCGCAGCCAGACGTGTCTATGTAAGTACCCCTCATGGTCTAACAAGCTTTATAAATCTTCAAGCTACATGGGTAGTTCTCTAAATTAGGGTCCCCGTTCAAGGTCGCCAAATTTACGGCACACGTACAGCATCCTAAAAGAGACCCTAATCTAGACACGGATCGTAATGCTGCGGCCCCCAGAAGAATGACACGCTTTGGCCACCTGGGCAGCCAAAGGGAGACAGGCCTGAGAATCATGTCATGCAGTGCAAGCACTGAAACTAATCCTGTTACTGATGCTATTAGCATTGCCAACTTCTTCCTTTATCAAGTCTTGAGTGTTGATATCACCATTTCAGCCAAATTCGTCGCAGTGGTAGCAGCAACGCTGCGCAGTAGAAGTCGTCGTCGTATTATTGTAGCAGCAGCAGCAGGAGGAGGAGGAGGAGTAGTAGTAGTAGTAGTAGTGGTGATTGTTGTCGTCGTAGTAGTCGTCGTCGTCTTTTTTAGTGGTGGTAGTGGTAGTAGCAGCAGGAGCAGGCTTGTTTTAGCAGGTTCGTGGGGAGCCGAACGAGCCTCGAACACAGCCAAGAGGCCATCTCCTTCTTTTCTGAAAGCTTCTTCGCCACCGTCTCGGCTTCATCCAGTCCCTTGCTACCCACCATGACGACGTAGCCTTGTGTCTCGGATTTGTCTTTGACCGTTCAGTGTTGGCTGCAGGCATCCTTGCTTCGGTGGGTTCCCGTCGCCCATCGCGATCAAGCTCTAGAGGTCTATCCTGCTGCGCGACTGCCACGGTGTCAGTGGGTTTTAATGGTGCGTAATGGCCTGGCCATGCTTGGTGGCTATAGCTGCGTTCACATAGTGTAGTGCTGGTCAGTGGAAGAACCAGCTTGTATGGGGCCGGAATACCAGTTGAGCCGGAGAGCTCTCCGGGAAGCACAGCCCTGCGACACATTCATCTTCCTTGGATAGTGAGTGAATCATCGTTCTGGGCACGATGACCTGAAAACAACGCCTCCCCAAAGCAAGCCGAGTCTCTGGGTTTTCGAGGAGACTGGAGCCCGATGCCGCCAAGTGATCCCTGATGCAAGCACGGCGAACTGTAGGAGTGTAAGGCAGTGTAAGGGATGCAGACCCAACAGCCGATTCTGCTCCCGCACGCCGCGTTTCTTTATGATCCGACGAAGCGTGTAGGAATGACTTAAAGACTTTGAGAGAACTCACAGAGATCTGATGCTGCCGCACCTCAGCTTTCGAAGGCTGATCGCCAAGTGATGCTTCCTAAGATGCCAAGAACTCGGAAGGCACGATCCTCCTTCCAATGCGACTCGAGACAGTACTCTTCATTAAGGTCACACACGGCAGCTCCCAGTCCCCAAAACTAGAGGCCGCAAACTCTCTGACTCAACTCAGAGGTTCGGACCCACAGGGGCGCCGTGGAAGGTGAAGCCTTAAGCATTGGGCTCTTTGCAGTCGGCAATCTCTCAGAGGACAGAGTTCAAAGCTGCATTCGGATGGGAACCACAGACCCTCGCGACAAGTTTTGGAAGGGTAGAAAACAAGTGGCTCTTTCTCGGAAATGGTCTCCCAATACTCCCAAGAAGCCTGCTGTCAGAATCAGAAATCCAGGCCCATTGGATCTCCAGAAGCTTGTTCTCCAGTGCAAACACGTGGCAGTGGTTGTGCGTCTGATCAGCGCGGGCCCGTGCGAAGTCCCAGGTGGGCATATGGGATCCTGAAGATTTTGCGTGGGGTTTCGGTGTTTGGGTTTCGGACTCGAGGTCACTGAAGGGAGGCTACAACTGCATCTGATCTGCGGTTTCGAGAACTGTAACGTCAGCATCAACATGTGCTTCACCGTGCTTGTGCCGATCTCAACAGCGCTACCTGCCCCGCCCTCCTCCCCACGCATGCACATGATCGCGAATCCCTGCCACAGAAGAAATGCTCGGTTGGCAGGCGCAAACTGATTCGCGCATCCGTCCGAGTTGCTGGGATGTAACACGCTATCTTTGCGGCCTGCATGTTCCAGTCCTGTACTGATATATAACAATGTAGTACAAACGACAAACATCAGTTAGTTGCTCACGACACCCCTTCTCTCTCATCTTGGAGGCAAGGCACGGTAGAAGGACCAATCTATTGGGACGCCCAGGAATGGAGCCCTCGGCCGGTTGACATTCTCTAGGGCCTGAGGATTAAGGGTTGAGGGGATAGGGCATCTAAATAACAAGCACTGCAAGCCGTTTTAGGGTGTGAAGATGCTTTCAGGATTTTCTGGTACATGCCAAGCCAGAGTACTCTTCAACAAGCTTCTGCGGCCCATGGGGCAAATCAACAGACCGGCCATGTTGGGGCATCAAACTCCACAGCACCTCGACAGCTTCGACACCCTGATGTACGTGAAGCATGGATCGAACAGTGTTGCGGCCCCAGTGAACACTAAACTCATCGTGAGTTGAAGGCTACTTGCCCCTCAAACAACAAGATGCCGAGCTGGGATGCAGACATCCCAGTCACCATCACTTGCAAGGGTGTGCGTGCTGCCGGGGTTGTCCAGCTCGTTGAAGCCTTTGTCAGATTCAGTGCACAAGGCTTCGGAGTCTCCTCGCACCGAACTTTCCGACTGTCCTTGCGGAACTTAACCCTAGACCCTAAACTGTACTAAACCCAAAACTCAACTATCTGCAGATCCGAGGTACCCAGGTCTTTCCATGCTGCCAGGATCAGGCCAGCATTCATCCTTTTCTTGGGGTTTCGGCACTCACACTCGGACAATCCAGGCGAGGCATGTTGTCTCGTGTCGGCAGGTTTCGACTCACACACTCGCGCAAGGCAGGCAACAATTGCGTAACAACCACGACAACGGTAACAACTATAAACAAATCTAACCAGAGCGGCTCTCAGTATCCCTGGAGGGTGCATGTGACTAAGGCAGGACGTACTATCCACCTGTACGTCAAGCAGTTTCTCCACTATTTCAACAGAATGAGTTAGCGATTCTGTCGTAAGAAAGGCACTCTCAGTCACTTCTTCATCCTGATTGTGGTGCTCAAATTCTTTTTATCATGCAGACTCTGGACATAGACGGCCACTCGTGTCGGTCCTATTCGCCAGGACAGCGCGAGTAGCCATTTCTGTTGCCTGAAGCCGCAGCAGAGAGCAGAAGCTTCAGCTGTTTGCCGGCTCAGTCCATGTCCGTGTTCTCTGAGTTGTAGACGACCCCTGATTCGTTTGCCTGGTGCCACGGGATGGTGGGGTCCGCCTCCAGCTTGGCAGTCTTGTCGGCGGAAGGTGGCTCTGTGAGGATCGCCGTGTTCAGGTAGTGGAACTCCTGCTTTAGATGTCCAGTCTTGAGGTCCACGGATATTGTCTCATTGGCATACACGTCTCCAGCGGTGTCGTCGTAGCCGTGACTGCAACCCTGCGCCTTGCACCTTGCAGAGATGTAGGTCACCAAGAGGTCGGGGCCATCGACCAAGATCTTGAAGTAGCCGTTAAAACCCAGCTTGACCATCTTGTGTTTGTCGTCGTCTGGGACCTCCTGGTAGAGCCGCTTGTCATAGGCCTTGAGCTTCAGGTGCCGCTTGTGGTGCGTGGGGCTCTTGGGCGTGATCCGGTAGCCACCGTTACCCACCAGCCGCGGGTAGATTGCATAGTCGGACTTGAAATGGTGCTCGTTCAACTTCAGCTTATCGTAGAGCGCGAAGCGGTGCTCATGACCGAAGAACCAAACCACCGTGCGGCTTTTGGGGAGGATGTTCTGCAACTGCTTGGCCGTGCCCAGGTAGACATGCTCGAAGTCGCTGTAGGGCATGTGGTGCGTCAGCAGCACGATGCCGCGCTTGTCGTTGGGGTCACTAAGCTGAACTGTGTTCAGCAGCCAATCGACGACTTCCTTCGGCTGAGGTGCATCGGTCTCCCCGCCCTTGCCGATGTCCCGGCTGCCATTCTGGTTCAGCTTGAAGCATAGGTAGCCGGTATCCAGGGCGATGAACCGCCAGTGGTCGCTTTGCCAGGCCCCATAATTGGCCTTCTGCCCGGAGTACTGGTAGCCCTGGTACACGAGGCCCTTCATGCCATCGATGGCCTCATGGTTCCCGGCCATCTGGAAGGTAGACTGCTTGCCCATTGGCCAGGTGACTCCCACCTGATGCCGCGACTTGGGCGCAGGCTTCTGGCCCATGACGTTGTTCTGGAAGTCTTCCGCATCCCCCACGAAGTAGACATCCCCCAGGTGGAAGGTCAGGTCTGGTTTCTCTCGTGCCATAAGCTTGGCCACGGTGCTCGACTCGCAGGTCCCGCTTCCCCAGTCCCCCGCGAGGCCCAGCAGCTTGCCGCTGACCGGGCCGCCGCCCGCGGCGGACGTAGCCTGACCCGAGGCGAGGTCGAAAATGCCCGTGGAGCCCTGGTAGGTGGGGTAGGGCTGGACCAGGGGTGTTGCTGCGACGGAGAGCTTGAGGGCATCCTTCCTATGCGAGGCGATCTTGCCGACATACTTGCTCACGGCCGCCGGGCACACGGCGCTCCAGCACTGGTTCTCGGAGGTGACCACCACACACGAGGACTTGTCGTGGTGGACCTTGAGGCAGGAGCGCTTCTCGGGGCACCAGCCGCAGACCTCGTAGGCTTTCAGGCCTTTGCAGCAGGCGTCGCACTGCTCGGTCACGTCGGAATCTCCTCGAGCTCTACGTCTACGTCGTCGTCGGTGGGCTCTACGTCGTCCGTCTTGGTCCAGAGCTTCCTCCTTCAGCTGCAAGAATGCAGACTCCTGTTGCTCGTCGTCTGGAAGCGAGCTGTCGGCGCACGAGTCTGCAGGTATCGCCCCAACCGGAAGCCTTGCAAGGCAAAGCCCAATCCAGCCCACGCAGATGCTTCGCATGGCTGTCAACTGTCAAATACCGCAGAGAAGGATAACAAATGGTCTGAAACTTTCGGCTAGGGTTCGGAGCTCGGGGGCACTTTGACCTCCGGGGTCCGCAGTTGACCCTTTCGCTTCGGAAACCAAATAAGCCAAATAAGCCCCTTCCGGTAGGTCTGCATGAGGCCCCAAAACATGGTGAAGCCGCATGACTTTCCCACAAATGCCAGGATTAGCGTTGGGGGGCACTCATGGTGTTCGCAGCGGCAGCCAATAGCAGTGGCATCAGCAGAAGCAGTGGTCGCAGAAGCAGCATCAGCAGCAGCTGCAGCAAACGTAGCATGAAGTTGACCAAGAAATCGTCGTAGTCGCTGCAGACGTCTCATCCGCAGAAGCTATGAAGCACACTAACGTTTTCAGTTACTGCATTCGCAACACTAAGTAGGGCCAGGCAGTTTCTCCACAACCCCGAGCTCTCTCAAGGCTCAAAACTACGACAGCAGAGAGGCTGGTCGTCCAAGGAAAGCAGACGCCGGGGTCCGTTGGCCACCAGTGGCCAAGGCGCTTTTGGTGCCAAAGTCTGCAAAAAATGCCTCCGAACTTCAAAAATCGAAAGCATGCAGCTGTCAGATATTGTCAGATGAGAGGAACGGACAGCAGGACATCGACGAGGACAGTTTAAGGTGTCTTGTGATTTCGATGGGTGCAGGAACGGTTCAACGCTAGCTTCTGGCTATCCCGAAACCGCTGATCCGTCTCCTGCCCCTACCAGTACGAGTACTAGTGGTACACTGGCACTAGCACAAGTATGGCGACGACGACACTACTACTGGTACTGCTACTGTTACTGCTACAACTACCACTACACCACGCAAAGGACTGCTAGCTTCAATGCCAGCGCCCACTTCACAAAAATGCTAGCCCATACTGGAAGCAGGTTGGAAGTACTGACTAGTCACTACTAACTGCTGCCTACACCTACGACCTACAGCGTACGACCTACTACCACTACAATAACAACTGCTGCTGCTGCTGCTGCTACTACTAGACTAGGACTACGACGACCACTGCTACTACTGCTGCTATTTATTACTATTAAGACTACTACAACTACTACCACTATGACAAGTATTGCTGCTGGTAGATGCAGGCACAACCACCACCACCGCCGCCGCTGCGGCAACGACGACGATGACTGCTAGTACAGTACTATTTCGGCAACAAACTTTCCATGGTAGGTGCCATTACGGGCAGAGTTGCAACTGGGAATTTTTCCTTCCTACGTAGCAGCTGGGATTAATTGGTACCTTGGTTTTTCGGTTTCTATTTCCTGTTGATGCCACTGACCACGATGATTTTGGTGGATCTTCTACCCTTTTTGGTGCGGCTCTTCCATACCCGTTTTACCTGCAACTGAGTCATGTCCTGCATTGCTGGGTGACTGCGTCTGGGGACTATGCTGCGTGATACAAGCGGCCTCTTCTCCCGTGCCGCGTCCTGGGCCAGTGACAGCAGCACCTCCCTGCAAGGTGCAGGTCGTCCCACCTGGAATGCAACAATCGTCCTAGCTTCTCCCTAAAGCCTAAACCGCTAAAGACATGACTTCACTTCGTGCAACCGGAATGACTAGCATGATTGGCCCCGGCACTCGGGGCTTCACAGCAGAATGCGCACACGGGGCGATCGCACAAGAAGGGCCCAGCACAATCCGCACCTGGTCACTGAATGCGTCCTCGCACGTGCGGCTTAATATGGATATACATAAGTGGGCCATGTGGCTCCGGAATACTCGGCAGCGTTCGGAATGGCGGCATCTAGATGATGCAACCTTTAGACGGGATTGAGAAGCCAGGTCTATTCTCACAACTGTTTGTTCGGTACTTTCGAACATCCCCTTTGCAAATCCTCGGCATCTTGGAAGACTTCGTGCAACTCAAGATATCACCACCAAGCCGTCGCACCTGAATACAAACCTGAAGCATGCCATCTGCAGGTCCACGCCCCCCCCCCCTCCCCCCCACACCCCCACCCCCCCACACNNCACCCACACACACACACCCACACGCACCCACCCACGCACGCACGCACGCACGCACGCACGCACGCACGCACGCACGCACGCACGCACCCACCCACCCACGCACGCACGCGCACGCACGCACGCACGCACGCACGCACACACACACACGCACGCGCACACACACACACACAAGACGTACAACCTCACTCGGATGAACTGTCCTGGCTTGCCGATGCCACAACGGACATGAAGTTCCAGTTGCCTGGGATGTCTCGCAGAGTCCAGCAAAACTTTTCGAGGAGGCAAGAAGGCACAAACAAATCTGCTCGTGCTTTGCTGTCCTCTACCTGGTTTTGTGGCTTGGAAATGGAAGAACTGCCCGCATCGCAAGCAACTACGGCGCATTCACATGTACCGATCGATGTGTCTAGATCCCCCGTTCTTTTCACGATGAACTTCTAAATGGTTCTACGGACATGTGTGTATGTATGCTGACATGTGGTGTATATACATATACATACACACACGCATACCTTTCGCTATCTATGTCTTCTTATAGGGTATGCAGTATGCAGATGTATGTGACAGTGCGTGGCGAAAGGTGTCAGTCCGTGTGGAAACGCACAGATACATTCGGATCTAGACATTTACTGGTAGAACACATCCTGATAAGCAAACAGGTATGCTAGATTTTCGAGGCACGGACTTTCTGCTAAGTCCTGCACTACTGGCGAGGCATATCACAGTAATCAAGATGGCAAGTTCGATCTCCCGCAAACATCTGAAACCCTTAGCCGTTCAAGAAACCCTGAACCGTGAAAACTGCGTGGTGACAAGGGGCAGAATCGCTCCACTGCCGCGATCGCAGACTCATTGGCCTTTTGGTGGGCAGGAGGATTCACCGCGCCTTTGGCTTTTATCGCTGTCGCACTCGGTGCAGCCAGACGAGCTTCAGAGTTCGCAGATGTTCGCTGTTCGTTGATGTGACGAGACGAGACTGCTTACTATAGGGGGCCGAGGTTTTGGATCGAACCCGGCGAAGGTGCTGGGTATTGCCATAGCCCCAGTGTCATCAGGCACGCTTGCGGCCATTGCTGTTTCTCCGAGCTGGCACAGGAGCCGCCATCACCATGGATTTTCTGCTTGATTCTCTCAATCTCTTTTCGCGGTCTCTGCCAAGCTGGCAAGACCTGCTGGAGGGATCGAGATTGTCTCTGTAAGACGCTGAAGCACTAAGAGAAAGCACAGGCACTGACGGCTTCGTGCCGTACTTCTGCAGATGTCCCGCTCTAAACCTGCAGTCTGAACTGTCTTGACTTGAGCCGTAGCTATTCTAGGCTTTGACACTTAATCATGACGTAGAAAGCCGTCCCAAACCTTCAGATGCAACTCCACATTAGCCTTGCAGAAGACTGTCATTGGACCACCGACTAGATCTAGATGGGTCAAATGTCATGGAAATCGAATCAGAAAGGCCCTTCCCCCAACCTGAAAACAACCAGCCCTTGACAGGCAAAGCAAAAGCTCATCACCCGCAGCCCCTATGCGCACAACTGTGGCTTCACAGGTGCCTTGATTGCGAGGGGCTTCGTGCCTTCCGCAGTCTTTGCGGTGATCGTCACAGGCAAGCCCAAATGCCTTCGTGGCAGTTGCTGTGCTGCGTTGACAGAAATTTCTGCTTCGGACACGAAGGATGCACGGATGTACTGCAGGATGTCTGAAGTGGAGGGCCAGCAATTTACAGTGTCCCATCGCGATGACAACCCGGCGGCTGGATCAAGAATTGTGCTTGTGATGGTCGTGGCTGCGGGGGGCACGAACTTAACAGAAAAAGAGACAGCCAGCACGAATTTGTTCGACAGGTTGCGGTAAGGGCATGCTGGGGTCACAACAGATGGCAAGGATGCAGAAATCAAGGAGGACGATGGCCCAAGACGACTCACTTAGCCGGCTTTCAACTCTTCGGTGCACGGGTGGCTTAGGTGCACAGGCGCCGCAAAACAGCGACGATGCCAAGAAGTCTTCGTTCCTAGTCAGAAGCTGCTTCCATTTGTCCATCACAGAGATCACCTTAAAATCTGCATGCGCAACCTGCAACCAGTTCTTGCTGAGCTGCTCGATAGGATCTGGGGCTGCAGTGGCGAGCACAGCTCCGAAGAGCGTGAGGAAGCCCAGATGCATCAGATGCGATGGCCATGGAATATCATGTAGCTGTGCATGTGTAGTATAAATAACCGGATTCCGGCTGCTATGAAGCTCCCAGGCGGCATTGAGAACCTAACGGCTTTTTTTTCCATCTGCGTGCCTTTTGTCGAAGCCTTTGAGGTTAGCTGATGCCGGCACCAACACGATCTCGCTAACATGACCTTCTGCATGCTTCTCATGGGGCCCAAGCAGCTCAAGTCGGTTCCCATGCTGTGAGATCGAAGGTGAAGTTTGGGAGCTTGGGATTTACGCTCTCCCAACTCGGACAAGCCAGACTAGGTTCCATAGGTTTGAGTCGGCGTGATACAGGCGCTTGAACCCCTGACCAGGGATTTAGGGTTTAGGGTATAAGAATTACTCTGTAGGCTTCCTTTTGACAGTGCGATAAGTGCGATACGCACCAACCTGGCTCGGATGTGTGGGGCTTCGATGCTCATGCTCGCACCAGGCAGACAGCTTCACAACAGGTCCAGCTGCTGACTCAAACTGTTTCAGGCACCATGGCTTGCTTCAGACTAACCTCTGCTCTTTAGTTCCAAACCTCGGTTTACACTCTCACAACTCGGACAAGCCCGCATCTTTGGGGTTTCTGATCTTCTCAGGACATCTAAAGCCTTTTCTACACTGGCTAGATGAGTGCTCGGGCAGATCTTGAAAAAACCTTCTAAACCCGGATCCGACATGCGGTGCTGGAGACATGCTTTCTTCCTCGCCACGCGATATGCCCACAGGGGACGCTCGAATGCTCTCTGCCGCTTGAAGGGGCTTCATCCTATGTTCGATGCTTGCATATGCTTTGGGCCTAGAGGGTATGTACACATGTAGGCCAACACCCAGTCATGTTCATTCCATGTCACGACACTTTCTTATCGAGGGGGGCCCTATAAGTGTTCTAGAGATGGCTCTCCGAAGGAGCATTGGGTGACTGAAGCCGTGAAAAACCTACGATTTTTCCTCGTGAGATTCGGGCCAGTTGGCCCGACCCTCATCAGATCCAGAGTCGAGTACCAAAGGCATCTCGGAATGTCTTGCGAGGGGGTTCAGGGAGTTCGGGGGTGCACTTGCATGTGGCTTTGGGCTTTGGGGTTCTTCCGGCGGCTGTAGCACACAACACCAAATCACTCAGGACATCTCACGACTATTGCGCAGTACTAGCTGCTTGAAAAGGGACAGTGGATTCAGGAGCCGGGCGCAGCTACACATCCGAGACCATCCGCGACAGCTCTGGTAAAGACCCTGGTGCCGACGAAACAGTTGGGAGAGTGCTGAGTTTTAAACTATTGGCTACATCCTTCAGTTCAGCGTGTGAGGTCGGATATCGAAGTCAATCTCTACAGCATCAGGCCCACACAACCCAGCACCGATTTCTTGGCGGCCAATGCTTTACGACAAGTCTGAGAGCGTCTGAGGCCCTTGGAGCCAAGGTTTACATGAGCTGAAGGCTGTGAGGCAGCGGGGGCTTGAGGTCGATACGGAGGGGTCGAGCAGGAATGCGTGTGGTGCAGCGGAAGAGGAACGAAGGAAGAGCTGCCGATCTCACACATCAGAGTCCACCTGTTTGGCAGATAAGGGCGGTGTCATCGGAGTCGGGGTGCATTCAACAGTTGAGGAAAGAACTGGAACCCTGACGAGGCTTGGGAACGCAGTGTCAGGGGCTTCGAGTTTCAGGATTTGGGTCCTGTGCACCACCCGAACAACTCGTAAATGGTGTTCCAAGCAATGCAGTCTACAGCCGTGTGCACATGCAGCTTGCGTTTCACCAACAACTGTCGCACGCCACACAAGCAAAGATCCGTCCACCTCTTTTGACGTTTCTGCGCGCCGATCCACTGACAACGCGTGGGTGGAATTACTTTGAGTTGAACGCTACGAAGCCTGAAGGGGAGTGTTGCACAGGGATTGCTCGTAAGTATGTTTGTTGTATGTGAATGTGAACGTATGTATGTATGTATGTATGTATGTATTTACATGTACACATGCATACTCCTATACTGTAAATGTTATACTGTATCGTATACCATAGCATATATGGTATTACATGCTATGTATGCTGCAGCATGTACTGCATTACACTCTGTACCTCGCAGTATTCTATACAGCATGTCATATATGGTCAGGCATCTGGCGTTCGCGCCCCCCGACCGCCCCCGCCCCCCAATGAGGGCCGGGATCTTACGCAAGCCCTACGCAAGCCATATAGTAGGGCATGCTCCTGTTTTTGTTAACTTTAACCCATACTTTAAACCCTACACCCAACCCTAAACCCTGCTTAAATGCAGGCTCTAAGCCTAAAGCAGAACGTATGCCGTCAACTCTAACCAACCTACACCCCAAACTCTCCCTAAGCCCTTGTCGACTCGAAGGCCCCGCAGCGAGGGAGGGCATTCTGGACAATGGACCCAAGGGGGGGGGCGGGGAGATATTTATATCTATATCTATATATGTGCATATATAATATATATATACACACACACACATACACCCACATACACAGGTGCACATGCACACATAACATGTGTATGTGTAAATACATACCTTGTGTTTTGATACATACAAATGCAACAAACACTACAAATAAATAAATGTATATATAGATATACACACACATATATATATATACACATATATATATATATATGCATATTTATAGATATATGTATACATATTTCTACATTATGTACATATGATCTATCTATCTATCTGTCTGTCTGTCTGTCTGTCTGTCTATCTATCTACCTACCTACCAGTGCTACCTACCTACCTACCTGCCTGCCTGCCTACCTACCTACCCACCCACCTACCCACCTATGCACCCACCCACCTACCTACCCACCTACCTGCCTAAATACCCATCCATGGATCCACCGATCCATGGAACCATCCATCGATGGACCGATCTATCTATCTATCAATCTTATCTGTCTATCCATGCAAGTTTTCATTTACTTATGTATTTACTTCTAATGTATTTAGCTTGGTGAATACTGGATCCTCCGGAAGTTAGCAGCGGCTGTGTTAATGCCCCGGACCTTGTGCCAGGACAAAATGGCGGCCGGGTCCACACGGCCCTCTCTCATCATCGGCTCTTCTTCGACTTCGCCGCGTATACTCAGGTGGTCCCTGGGGTCTCAATGGCTCGATATCGGTTCACTCGGGGGCCCACGAGGAGGCTACCTGCCGTAGTTTCTAGGGCCTAGCTGGCTGGGTCGAAGCACGTGCTACAGCACCGTCCTCGAAGTTTCCACATATCTGAGCTAATTTTGATTGGCTGTGAGCGGTGGTTCCGAGGCTTTGCCTTACGTGCTTGCCCGCTTCAGGACGATTTCTGGTCGGTTCCTTCTGCCCACCCTGCAAAAAAGGCAAACTCTGTCTCTTACAGTTATGACTTTGTCCAAGGGCCAGATGGTTTGCCGACCTTTCTTGACCAGACCCCTCGAATGTTCGAAGACTGCCTAGCTTCCGGAACCGGCCATCCATCGTAGTGGTCGGGAGTCACATCATCCAATAGAAAATTCTAGGGCCACTTTGGTCCTCCGCAACAAGAAGTGCCTGCTGTTCTCTTCCTTGGCAGGCGTTGCTGATTACAAGGTGGTGTGAAGATTCGGTGTAGATGGGCTCTCAGCTATCTGCCTCTTCGTCGGCACGCTGTCAGCCAATTCGAATGCTCATGGTAATTTTTGATGAGTACTCGTACCCCGTGAAGCATCATCTAGAAAGTAGAACGCAGACATCTTGTGGCCAGGACATCGGCGAGCCTTTTCCAGGTCATATGCCGCTGCTGAGCAATCCCTGCTTGTGTCTCGCTTGGATAGTGACTTCGCAGAAATTCGAGCATCTGTGGACACATGCACCATGTGTAGGATGGGCTTCGGTGTGGACATACACACACGGAATATGATGGTGGGAAGACCTGATACATGACAACAGTCAACATGCCGGCTAGCCAGTCTATCAAAGGGGCAGAACTGCTATGGCTTGTGGCTGCAGGGTCGGCTTGCGGATAGCACAGCAACAGCTGTGCGTGCTGCGCAGAAACGTCGAAAGAGATCGTCAACCCCTGCCGCATGCTTGTGTGCTGCCTGAAGCCGGCTCGTCGCTACGTCCATAGTGAGCATAGTGTTTCGCTGCTCTTCGTTCTGATTCCGAGGCCTTGTTTGGAACCAAGGGGCTAAGCAGCTACGCGTCGATCTCAAGAAGCGCGGGGGTCGGCTGCCAGTGAAACGGGGTCCGAATAGTACTTCGGATCGGCCTGCTCGCTTCGGGATGCTTGATTTCGGGGTCTGGTCGGAGGGCTTGACTACTTGGCTGCCAGGCAGGATGTTTAGGGACTTAGGCTGCGACTAGCATGAAAGCATAGTGACATTGTGGGTTGGGCTCAGATTTTGCTCGGCTGTCCCAATGTGGCAACTGCACGCAGAGTTGAAGCCTTGCCC